CACGCGCGACGTGTAACGCGGGAACGCGAGGAATTTCGTCACGGCCTTCGCTGGATCTTCACGCACGGACGCCCCTTTGCTGTCCGATGGCTGACGGTGCCGCGACGTGCCTGTCATACTCGCCGACTGGCTTCCGAGGGCTTCCTGTCCCCCCCGTAGGACAGGTCGATTTGGTTAATGAACCTCCCGGTGGTTTCGTTGCGTCGCGAACAACCGCGCCGTTATTAATCTCGATCGCGGCTACTCGTTCCTCCGGAGATACCCGAAGTCCCCAACCGTGACGATATCTTGTTATTCCTGATAAGATTGATGTCAACGCAATTTAAATTCATACGAAGGCGGACCAGCTCGTCGAAATCAGCTCCATTGTACGCCGATACGAGCAATTTATAATATTATTCTCCGAAACAGATCGAATTGATAAGCTCCTCCTTTTGCTCGACGGACTCTCGAGTGAAAAACTACGGTCGATCGTTCGTCTTCTAGGCGTAGCAAAATCGTGTTCCAATATTTGATGTAGCTATTATTATACGCATTTAGCAAATAATAGCAAACGTAGTTCAAATTCTGAAGTTATATTCGAAGGATATTCGGTTCTCTTTGTCCCGAACGTGAACATCGAGGGCTGCGCGTGGAAGGCGAACAAGGCGTAAGAGTTAAATTATTTATCGCGGAGGATTCTTCCCCCTAACGACGACTTGTCCTGTTAAACGAAGTGAAGCAAACGGAGGATGACACTCGAAGTCATTAAAGTCACCGGTGCGAGTTTGTTCTCCGCGCGTTGAACTCTCTCTCTTTCACGCTCATTGTAGTTACCTTTGACGCGGTTTTTAATTGCTTTCATAGTCAACTCACATGTATGTGACTTAACTCACTCGTCTGTGATACTAAATTGTTTTTGCATTTCCATACTTTAATAACAGAAATGTTCCATTCGCGTCTGTTTTGACCCAAAGACGACGAGCCTGTAACGAAAGGGTTGAAGCGTAAACAGGTAACGAACTCTGGAACCGTGAGCGTTGCCGTGGAAGCATCGACCGGAAGTTGCAACAGTTTGCAGAGAGCGTAATTCGATTGATGCGCGAATAAGAGGAGGCAACTACGCTGTCAATGAGGTCTGAAAAGGCTTCTGTGTTTCACTCGGTACCCTTCTTTCCTAACGAACCGAACGAGGCGAGGGAAAGCTGCGCGGCGAACGTGTGCCGTTTAATGAAATTGGAGGGCTAGGTCAGCGTTCCTGTTTCCAGAACCGATACTAACGCGATTACCTCGCGAAAACGGATGCGGAATCGAGTTAGCCGGGCCGCGCTGGGATAATTCCATTAACATCGATTCCAGCGGCTGAGTTTCTGATTCGGTCTATTTATCGGCCGCGCGACGACAATAATGAATTTTCCGCGGGACGCTTAATTCGCCGTCGCCGTGGACGGAGTCTTTCGTTGTCAAATTAACGGACCCCCATCGCGGGCGGAAGAGAGGCTCTCGCGGAACGGACGTGGCCAGCGACGTCGACCCGAAATTAACGGAAATCGGATTCCCCGCGCTTCGACGAACACTCCCAACGCGTGATTGATGTTTAATCGAGTTACCCCGGACCACGGTGCAGCGTCAAAGTTTATTCCTTATTTAGAATATAGACTCGAATTTATTTCACTCGTAACTATTAATCTTAATGATTTTAGGGATTTATTTATGATTTATTTTGAGTAAATCGTACTGGGTCGCAAGAAAATTTTGTTTTAACAAGAATTTTTTATTATACATTTTTCGTGATGTAGACAAGTCGAGTGCCGGTCACTGGTGATCTCCATGGTAGTCAACGTGTTAAATCTTAAACTTGGAGGCTTCTGTCGTTCCGTCGAGCGGAAGAGAAGTTCTCGCGAAGCGGATGCCATCGACAACGTCGCCCGAAATCAACGGAAATCGCGTTCTCCGCGCGTACGTGATTGGTGTTAAAATGCATCACTTCGGACCCGAAGTACAGAGTCACGAAGTTTATCATTTCGAATATGCTACTCGGAATTGGAAGCTTCCGATACGCGCGCGAATTAACTGATTTCAATTCACCAGTCAACAAACATTCTTTTCGATAAAAAATATTAATTATCGAATAACCTTTAGCTCTCAGTCTAAAAATACCGAGACTTTTCTACGACAGAGATTTGCAATTAATTGGCGACTCGAGTATCGTAATCGATTGCCATCGCGTAAAAAGAAGACTGGTCTCGATAGGATCGCTAGAAATCGTTCTTAACGATTGCAGTCGATAAGGAAGTAAGTCGATTGCAACATTGACGCACCGTGCTCGATGCAACTTTGATGCTCGTCGAGTGTGCCGTGGATAAGGCAGGAACGACGGGGAAACGGGAGAGAGGGGGAAAGGTCGACAGATACGCGCAATTTTCCCTAATGATCGTATCGGCGATTAGTTAGGTGCCTTTCTATAAATCTTCCCTAACTAATTACCCCTTGCACTCTCAACCCTCGAAGAAGACCACACGGGCGTTCGAGTGAACCATGCAGTTAAACGCTAATTATTATCCACGTATGCGATAAATTAAACTGCCAGATGCCATGGTATCGTCGAGTGCCTCTCTCGCACGCACGGTGGACCGCATTATAGGTGTATGGAATATTCGCTTGTTCTGCGTTGCCTCATTCAATTTTGCGCCATCCATGCGCGCTTATGTTCGCTATTGTGGGCATCCTCGATCTTTGTCCCGGTATATCTCTCACGAAGGGTCAGTTTCAACGGATTTCGCGAGAGGGTAGCTTCCCCTAACTGTTTTCCAACGACCAGCTCTCGTCATTTTTTTTTTAATCTCAACGAATTTTAGTACTGCACGAATTTCTTTCCTTGTTCATATATGTACCACGTCACTTTATTGTTCTTCATAACTTTTTACATCTGTTATTTCTCATCCCTTACATTTCGAATTTGCTATATTTTATTACGAAATTAATAATTAATAATTAATTTGCGTAATTTTTTTTTAATCTCAACGAATTTCTTTCCTTGTTCATATATGTACCACGTCAGTTTATTGTTCTTCATAACTTTGTATATCTGTTATTTTTCATCCCTTAAATTTCGAATTTGCTGTATTCTATTACGAAAACATCAGACGGGCACAAAAGATCGTAGTAATTTTACAGAACGCGACCATTTTGAGGAATCGCGTTTTGCGTGAACGTAACGCTTTAAACAACGATGTAAGTGGCGTTTATTCGTCATAGTGACATTTCTACGTAAAACACTCTCCGAGGGAATGTTTATACTGGAGTATCGATCGCGGGAAAAGAGTGATGAATGAATGGATTCGACGAATGGCGACACATGGCATGAATATGTGATGTCTGTGAGAAAGGTTTAACAATCCAGCGCGATTGAGGATCTGGGCGCAAGGAGGGATCGTGGGAATCGCTCGATGTCAAAGAATTGTTGCTATAATTTTGCAAACTGTACACTGTAACAATTTTTAGAGAGTTCAGTTCAATTTTCTTTAAATATCATTCGTAAAATGATATTAAAAAATTTAATACTCACTCCGACTGTGATTCCATGTTTTATGGTCGACGTTTAATGCTCTGGAGATCGATGGGTCACCAAAGGGCGACAATTAGCGTTGGAACTCGATCGATGGGAGAAGTTTCGTTCCAGGGTTGCACGGAGACTAGAAACTGGAAACTTTGTTCGCTAATATAATTAGGCAACACATTCTGTCGACACAATGTTACGAATTTCCGTAAGTTATAGCTAACTATACGGGCTAGAGAATTATTTCTGATAATTCAAAGCGCAGGAGTCGAAACGTTATTAAAAGAAGCTTGTGAAAATCTCTTCGTGTCATTTTATTCGACATTAGAAAGGCACGTTTTTGACAAATAACGTTGCCCCGTTCTCAGCTCGGTGGTATTAAATTTATGGACGACGTGTACGTGTTTTCGCGTTCGCAGGTGCTTGACGATATAAAATTATGTCTTTACCATTCAACGATAAATTGACTTGGGAGTTAATTAGAATTAAGCTGATAGGCTTTAAGAAATTGAGCCTCGTAATAAAGTACCTAATACTAATGCCGTGTTACGAGCCAAGGCCGTACGCGACGCAGGAGGCCGGCGAGAGGAGGGTTTTTCCAAAGGTATAACGATTCATCAGTTCGTTGGTTAGTATACAGGCGAGCCTAATGCGAAATTGAGCTCCCGCTGGAATGCAAAGTCACTAGGTTGGAAAAATCCGGGATAAATAATGCTCGCGCTGGAACCTGATGGGGAAATTAGGGACACGCAGAAGATGTTAATTAAGCCTCGTAACTATGCTTCGAGTGGTAAAGAATATTAGGTCAGCCCATAAGCGTCGGTTCTCAGACTTTATACAAACGTCCATTTTTGGCATTTCTCAAAGTGCAACGAAGATAAAATAAAATACAGAGGATCACACATTATTATACCAAGCTTCACTTTTAAATCGAATCTCTTGCGCAAAGTGTTTTTTACCGAGCTCTGAAGAAGTTCCACATTCGTTTCTAGCATTTCCCAACTTTGTGCAACGAAGATAAAACAAATCAAATGTCGCAAAGAACTAAATAGTTTCTAAAGAGGTCAAGCACCATTTCAGGATTCCTAGAAGCCAGCCTTCGAGCGAATCTTTAGAACGACTCGCGGCCAATGATTAATCGGCTCGAAAGTCGCAGTTTTACGACGTTCCGCGAAATAACCGAGAAACTTCGCGTATTCGCGGTTCTCTCAGCGCCTGAACAAAAGTTAAATAGCCACGTTTAATGCTCGTTCCGATAAAAATGCTTAAGTACTCGTGATCCGGGAGACAATATCGTCGAGAGCGTTTAATTATGACGGAATCGTTTTATTGCCGTACGACTTGGCTCGTTTCTCTGATCCGCGAATTGCAGGATTCGAGGCCGATCTAACCGTTACCAGCGACCTTTGAAATGTCACGTTCGTGTCGCTAACGGTTCGATTTTTCTGTTTGCCTGTTTCAGATGCCCAAATGGAGCAGGGGTACCGGTCCGAGGTCCAAGAAAGGGCACTCGTCGTATCCTTGCAGATGTTCAATCTGATTTTAGAACGTGGCGTGTCCTTGCTCAAGTCTCAGTTGGACAGCGGCGAAGAACCGAGGATGGTTGTTAGCGAGGACATGCAAGTCCTTTTACCAGCTATCAAGGTATTTCCGTTATCTCTGGCATATCTAATGGGGCCTCTATCAAGATCTCTTTTTCCGAGAAACTTTCACCGTGCCGGGGAAACCGCGTCATTCCGATCCCTCGCTCCATAAAATCTTTACAAAAAATGTTTCGATTCTTTGTGACGCGATTCCGCGAGCACGTGGACGTCCTTTTCGATGAATCGAGATCCTTACGGGAGGATCAAAGAAAGTTTCTTGAGAATGGCAATCAAAGGAGAAGACTCAAGTAAAATGGTTAAACGACAAGTGATATTAACAAAGGGTTTAAAGTTCTCATCGTAGGAAAGTCGTATGAAAATTGGACCATGTTTATGGGGTTAAGGAACAATTTCTCCAACATTCTCAGAATTTCTAAATATTCTTCACTAAAATACGCGTCGTTTGCATTTTGAAACATTAAAATCCTCCAATCCGTTCAGAAGTTATGATTTTTTAAACATACAGATGGAATTTCAGGGGAATTATTCATGTCACTGGTCAGACATTGTATTTTCAGAAAGGAATTTTTTTCTCGAAAGTGCGTAGGATTTCGAGGGTATGTCCATTCACCAAAAATGATTGTAATTGACCTCCGTAACTAAAAATAATTTTACCAAAACGATTCGAAATTTTTTAATTTTGCCGAAAAATTTAGACACCTCCTGAATTTTTTTCTCGAAACTGTGTAGGATTTCGGGGATATATGTAATGACCAAAAATTATTGTAATTAACCCCACTAGCTAAAAATAATTTTTCCAGAATGATTGGCAAATTTTTAATTTCGCCGAAAAATTTCTCCACTTCCGGAATTTTTTTCTCGAAAGTGCGTAAGATTTCGAGATTATGTCTATTCACCAAAAATTATTGTAATTTACCCCCACGACTAAAAATAATTTTTCCATAACGATTTGAAAATTTTTAATTTCGCCGAAAAATTTAGGCATCTCCTGAATTTTTTTCTCGAAACTGTGTAGGATTTCGGTGATATGTGTAATGACCAAAAATTATTGTAATTAACCCCACTAGCTGAAAATAATTTTTTCAGAACGATTCGAAATCTTTTAATTTCGCCGTAAAATTCCTCCATCTCCTGAATTTTTTTCTCGAAAGTGCGTAGGATTTCGGGGGTATGTCTATTCACCAAAAATGATTCTAATTGACCCCCGCAACTAAAAATAATTTTTCCGGAACGATTTGAAAATTTTTAATTTCGCCGAAAAATTTAGGCATCTCCTGAATTTTTTTCTCGAAACTGTGTAGGATTTCGGGGGTATGCCCATTCACCAAAAATGATTGTATTTGACCCCCGCGACTAAAAATAATTTTTCCAGAACGATTTGAAATTTTTCAATTTCGCCGAAAAATTTTCCATTCCATAAGGTGTAAGGTCTACTCGTGTACCAAAGAGAACATTAAAAAGAGCGCTCATTCGATTTATTATTTAGGAAATTTTCGTGGAAATCGATCGGATTGTTCGTTGACGGGGTTCCTTGTCATCGCCATAATCCTGCATGCGAGCGCGCCTAACCGGTCGAGAATTTATGAAGCGACGCTTGGTTCGCACCCACGCAAGGTCCACCGGTGGCCGTTGTCAGGGCCTGGGCCTGGTTCGTTCGTGTCTCGACTTATTATGCAACCCACCGTTCGCGATTAATGCACCTATCGCACGTAAGCTATGCACGCACGCTCCATCGATAAAGGTCAGCCTATGACAAGCCATTGGTATCGCGACGTCATTGGTTCTTCCTGGTTCTGGCTGGTGCAACCTTCAAGGATGCTCGCGTGGCGTATTGCATCGCGATGCACCGATTCTTAATCGCGTACGCCGCCACGGGGGGGAAATAAATTTACCGATCCACCCAAATTTCTTGCACGAATCGTTCTCAAAGTGGTCGCTCGCGTTGCAAAATAATTTTACTCGTTATCGTGAAAGTGAAAAATTGTGCAAGACGGGTAGGAGCTCCGGTAGCAACGTTTTTTAAAATCAAAAGAATTTGGAATTTTTGCGGATAGAACGCGTCGATCGTTATCGAAACGCAACCTGGCGCACGGAATAATGGCGAGTTTTGCTCTTGTACCGCGTAAGACCATTAATATTGCCGATAAAGTAGACGTGATACAAGACTGCTGGAATATGATTCACTTTACGAGGATGGATGGAACGCTGGGGATGAAAATAAAATGTCTTCTAGGCTTTCTATAAATAGGAACGTCCTCCCTTGTCTCCTGGCGACGATCTTTCATCTCTGAAACTTTTTGTTACAGATTTGGTGCGATTGGATGCTCTGTCACAGCACCGTTTGGAATCCACCGCCATCTTGCACGGACTACAGAGTCGGGTGAGTCTCGTCAAATATACTATTCCCTTCCTCGACTATACGATTCGTGCCATCCACGGATAGGATCCAACCGCCTCAATATAGTATGTAATCTATTATTATTAATCAGTCGTTTATTCTTCTTTATGTATCCACTTCAGTTTTGATCTACGATTTTTTTTATAGAATCTATTAATCTGTTCATTTCAGAAAATTTTCCAATTATGAGAGCAATATTTAAGATGTTAACCCTTAATTACTCCTATCAAATAGTGAAGTTTCTCTCAAGTTCTCATTTTTAAACAGGCAATTAACCCCTGATCACGGGCGTAGAAATAAATATTCTATCGTTACCACAGACATCTGGTCTCAAAGATCGTCACTTCAATTTTACAACCAGTAACCCATAAGGACATTATCTAACTCCATTTTTAATTTGTTCCCCAATGTACAAGCTTCAGAATTGCAGTATTCCAAATTAGATCTATCTTCTACTTTTGTTCCCCAAATAGTACCGAATCTCGTCCAATTTCGAAGCTCAGAGATTTCGCAGCGAGTAATTAAAGGTCAAGAAATGAATATTTCCCGGTTGCACGGAAGTTACAAACGGTTCGATGGTAATACCATTTGTCATCGTTCCGAACGGTTCTCCAACGCCGGTCAGCGTCGCTCCCGATATACCGCGGTTATTTAAAACTTTCCAGCCAGCCCACAGGCGCGGGCGTAACCGTTAAATGCCAGTAACAGAAGTAAATTTTCCTCGCCGTCCAGTATATTAGGATCAAGAGCTTCGCGATGGGGAAGGAATACTCGATATCTCGAACTCCTTCCGATCCTGTGGCTCGCGGTCTGCGGTCTGGATCTGGCTCTTAACTCCGACCGTCCAGTCGGTAACCGCGCACGATGCATACGTTCGCCAGTAGATTACGCTACAGCCACAAATTATTCGCTTCGAGAAGCATTTTTTCGCCCCCGAAACTTTGGGCGTCCACCTCCCCCATCGTTCTCGCGATCCAACGACTCGCCGGATGAGAACTCGTAAACGTTGTCCGCCATTTTTACTCTTTAAATATACCCAGTTTCGTACGCTGTTCAAAATCAATTAGGCTACCGTTCATAGACGAGTACAAAATTTTGTAAATCTCTGGTAAACCTCACTCGATTCCTAACCGTGAGAGAATCTCCAAGAAAATTTGAATTAGGAACGTGAAAATAGAGGTTCGACCTTTTACTCCTTAAGGTATGATCTAATGTCATTTTTCAAACGTACACTGTTTAATTTTGTTTAAATTTGTTCGTGAGAGGAATGACCACAATGGAGAATAAATTTACGAATACCTCGCCAATGTAAAAATGTGGATTTTTACCAAACTGGCAAATGGAGTTTAACTTGATGACAAGTGTGGGCTAATCATTGTGAAACTGGTTACAGAGAATTTGTGACGAGTCAGAGTCGTCGTTGCAGGGAAAAGGGTTAAAATAGGAATCCAACGATTGGCTGAGATTGAATATAGTATTAAAATTGGATCTTCTCGGGTCAGCCTGAATTTCGCCCGAGGAACGACGACCAAGAGGTGCCTGGCTGCGGCGTTGTAAGTGTGACACGGGTCACGGTCAACCGCTGTATCGTATCAAAACTCGATCTACAGTCACGCAGAGGTTCGCGGATTCCTACGGGTCGGTTCGTTTCCCTCCCCCCCGTGGTATCCCAGGGACCGTTCGCGCGCAATTATCGCCAGAACGGCGTCTAATTTGATGGAGAACGTGCGTGCAACGTCGCCCCGGCGAGTATCTGCGCTCGCTTTTGTCAAACAGATTAATCTCCGTGGTGGGAGATTTGTGGGGTGGGTCTGTCGCGGGTCCGGCGGGGGCCGCAGATCAACCAGCACGTAACGTTCGGTTCCGTCGCAGCTGCGCGCGACTATTAATTCAGGTTGACACTTCAGGTGTTTTGAATTATGACTGTTGTGTTGGACTATTAATTCTCACCGGGACGTCAATTTCTCAGGGTGGGAAAGTTCCCGGAGAGGCTGCTAGAGACATCACGCCCGGACGACGACGTTACACCTTCCAGGCGCCTGTTCCGTGATTTATCGCACGCGATAAGACGCGAAATTCCGCCCTAAAACCTAATTGTTCGAGGGATACCGGCGATCGTACGCTCTACGATGCTCGAGGGTAGCGACACGCGGGGGTGTCGTTGCTCAGAGTGCTAGGGGAATCATAGTAAACCAGGTCAAAATAGTAAAGATCCACGAAAAAACTTTTCGATTAAATGTGCTTGAAAGTTTTCGAATATGGCTGGTTTGAGTCCAATAATTTCTTATAGACAGTGTTGTCAGGGGGCAGAACACTGTTAGACACTGTTACCATTGCACAGGAAGTTTCCTTTTATTTATTAGAAAGGAGGGTTATAGACAAATTTTATGTGAACTTTGTAATATTGCCGTCCGTAATATTCACTAAATACTTCGATATCTTCTTGTTTGCAAGGTGATTTATCATTTTAAATAATGAGAGGTAAATTCTTCATAATTTAGTGTCAAGTATATTATAAAAATTACAAAATTATGGTTACATAAGAGTAAGATGTTTAAATGTTTGACCAAAAGTTAATACACATATACATTCTAGCACCCTCCTTTCCTCGTAACTTACGATACCAGGACTTCTATTGTATCATAAAAGTTCCCATTCGAATTTCGTGGAACCCACCCTGAAACTGTCACGATTATTTTGACGATTCGATGCATTTTTTTAAAAATCGTCACACTCTTAAGTAAAGATAGTAAGAAATATAATTCCCCGCGAAAGAATTCGAGAGAAGAGACGCGCGATCGCTACGAGAGCAGCGTCGACCACTCGTTGAAGTCACTGGGATCGCGAACCTGTTCCGTTCTCGAAACGATCCAGCGTGGGAGTGACTCATCGAAATAAAAGCATTCGGTCGCCGTTACGACGACAATGCAAAGCACACGGGGGACGTTCGAGGAAGGGTCCATCAACGTGTAATTATCTCCGTACGGGTATCCTCGATGATTGACGAAGAAACCACGGAATCGCTGAAAAAGATCGACTCGTCGTTAGCGTGACGGGGGCCTCTGAAAAACAGAGAAACGAGACTCCCTTAGGAAACGTGCACGTAACATAAATTCCAGGCCAATTTTGATATTTGAAAAGAAATTCTCACTTTATTCGATCTACTAAAATTTTTATTTAAGTCGACAACCTCGACTCGGATTATAGCAAATAAAAATGGCTGAGCACTTGAACAAATCTTTACCAAGGTGCACCACTTTCCTATATCTCAATTTAAACATTTTTTACGATCGCAAGAAGAAAAATGGCGGCCATTGACGGTGTCTCTAGGCGCCCTCGCGACGCTCGAAAGTCTTTTCCCCCCTCGAATATTCGAGCGAGATCGAAGACAACAGATTTTTATTCTCGATCGCGCCGAGCCCCCAGCCCGAATATATCGATCCCTCGGATCTTTCTAACGAGACGGAGCAAAAAGACGAGGCGAAAAGAGAGAAAAGGCTCGTGGCTGCCCGACTGATGCAATCTATCGTCCATTAAACGAGTTTCAAGGCCTCTTTAGTCCCGTAACTGCGAGAACCAACGGTCCCTATCCGGCTGGATGAGTTAATTATTGTTGCTCGTTAGCGATTAACAATTATGCGAGCGTAGAGCGTTTCCTTGGCAAGGACGCGCGGCGCGGCCGTCGATCGGCTACCAACGCGATCGCATCCTCTTGATCCTGTTCACCGCGAATAAAAAACGGTCTTATTTATAGAACCGGGGATCGCAATTAATCTGCCGTCGATCGCAACTTATTCGATTCCCTCTGCCCCCGACGCCGTAAATTTTTTTTTATTTATTTTCATCGAGGATAGCAACTTTGTTTTATCCTCGCGATCGCTCGTGCCTGGAACCGTGCAATTCCGATCGATCGATCAGTTCCCCCCGTCTCTCCCCTCGGTTTCTATTCTGCTTTTTTTTTCTTCTCTATTTATTATTAACCCTTTGGGGACGGGAATAGTTTTAAACGAGAGCGTCCGTCCAGCCGAGAGTCGGTTCTCTTATTCTCCAACGCGAGGACGAGATTATCCTCCAAGTTTATCAATTTTCCAGACTCGTTTTACTTCCCCGATGACGCGTAGATCGCATTAATCTACCCGGCGCGACCGACGCGTTATTTATTGCTAGGTGTTTCACTCGAGACCGAGCTGCTGAGTTCACTATGATAGAGTATATCAATCACGCGATTGTTGACGATCGCGAGGCGTTTCGGACGACGCTTTGGATCGACGATTGTTTTTTTTTTTGCATCCGCGAGATGATAGAATTATTGGACGGCATATGTTGCGATTCACCGAACGAAGAACCGACCATAATGATCGTCTTGTCGCGACTCCTTCCACTCACGGTTCGTAAGTCACGAGTATTAGGACACTTGTCCGAGACGTTGTCGATCTTCAATCTTTGGACCATTGTGTCCACGCGAAAATAAGTACAACGATCTTTCATGGATCGTTTCAGAGGTTGGATAACTCCGCTTCAACGTTCGTCGATCCAACTTCCTCGAAGATCTTTTTGCACGCAGGTTTCTAGATTTTCCTCGTCTCGTTCGATTCTTTGTTGCGTCACAGCGCCGTGAATCATACGCGTACAGAAGAATGTTTGTTATTAACTTAATTGCATGCACTGCATTATGCAATTGCCTGCGGAATAATTTGGCTCACGGTGTGTACGTGGTAACAGGAAGACCCAACTTCCGTCTACGATTCTCGTAATGATATCTAGATTCCTTTTTTAATTTTCCAATTAGAACATAAACTACTTCCCATCTTTATGGATCGGCTCTTTCTATTTTCCACCAAACGCGCATGGTTCGCACACAGAAACGACTGTAAAAAAAGTACGAGTTACTGTCATTTTTAATAATCGTTGACCGAAACGAGCCAGTTTAATTGATGGTATTCGCTAACGACTTACGAACACCTTTGTATTACTTTGCAGATCGTTTAAACGCGTTGTAAAATACGTGCAACGCCAAGTTCACACTTGTTATTATATTGAGTCAAACATTCAAACGTTCTTTAAAATATAAGAAAAAATAAGCAAAGCCAACTTTAAAATAATTTTTTAAACTACTTCGTTGCAAGATATTTTAACCCTTTGTACCTCAAGAGTCTTTATTAATACGAACAATTAGCAATAAAAATTTCAATTTTGTAACGTGAGTTTTAAAAATAAAAAAAATCATAATATTCAAGTTTTTATAAAAATTCCGTGAGTGAAATTTTTAGCTAAAAAACGATCAAAAATATGCTCTCGCGATCGATAGAAAAATCGAGCGTACGTGCGAGGTAGGAATTTAATGATGGATCCAGTACCTCGAAATGAAGGTAGAAAATGGGTGGTTCGATCGCGCGCGTTACAGTTCCCTCCGTCGGTGATTTTTCTCGTTTATCAATAAGTCCGAGGCGGCTAATAATTTAACGATAAAGAGGTTCGTCGATTAGACGAGTAGGAAACGCGGTGCACGCGGCTCGGCGCAATTAACGAATGACCTTTCATGACGCCGATCGATTAATCCCGGGCCGATGGCGTCGTGGGCTTTTCTTTGTAGCTGCCTCCTCGCTTCTTTATCGCCGCCTCGGGGGCTGTGCACGATACCATCGAATGATCGATGGCTTGGAAAATGATCCCCCGCGCGCTGCCATTCATCGCGGTGAAAATAATTAAACGGACGACTTTGGATTTACAGTAATACGGAAGTGGTCGATGGATACGTGGCGCGCCAGCGTGGACGCGTCATATATTTAACGATGTCACCGATCCACGGCGGTTCGACGTACGCGGGAACCGCGAGCGCAGGCGATATATGTTACTAATTTTGACGGAACCGAACGAATCGTGACCATCAATCCAACGACGCTCCCGCCGAAAGGGTAATGCGTCATCGGAAAATGCGGTCGCCAGGGTCGAGTTCAATTCGTTCGACGGGGGCAGGTGTGAAAGAAAATCATGCGTTTAATCATTCAAATTGGACAGCCACTCGAGGATATTTACAAGGAACCCAATCACTCTTCGTTCCATCGCTGGTGCAATTTGTAAAATCGATACGGAGGGAAGCAATTTAGGTTTTTAAAATTTTCTTCGAATAACTGGGAGAGATTTCAACGTGACCCATATAAAACACGCGTTAAAGACAATCGTACAAATATATTTTAATATATAATAAAAATAACATCTTAAGTTTGACTGTTACTTAAATTCATAATATTTAAGTTTTTATAAAAATTCTGAAAGCAAGTGAAACATGTGTACAAATAAAAGTGTTCCATATTAGGGCAACTGACCCTATAACATTTTCGTTGTATAAAAATTGAATCTTGTGTTCGCATAATTTAAGGCTTAATCGACGATTCAGCCGCGAATGTAAAGCCAGGTATAGAAAATGATCGTGCCACCTGTGCCCATTGTGCCCGGGTCTTCTTTATTCGCGTTCGGATCGCGGGGCGCAACGTGGCTCGTTGATTCGTTCTGGCAGCTTACTGAATCATCGGCGAAAATTTATTGCAAGCGGGAAGAACCATCTGCGGTTGGATCCTTCCGGTTTCTGGTTACGCGATTTTCAGCCGATAGGCCAACGGGGGGTTCAGGCGATGAGGAATTTAATTCGTTTCGCGATGTTAACTCCGGTTTTCTTTGCAGCCCCGCCGGAGACGCATGGAGCAGACTGGCCACGATGGTGAACCTGCTAGATAAATTGAATTATTCCAGAGCAATACTGATTCAGGCCAAGGACGCGAGAAGACGTCGAGATGACGGTAAGCAAATCGATTCACCGGCAATTTTACATATTTTTACCGTGACAGGAATTCGCGTTCGATATCGATTTTCTATATTTTCCAAGTATTCGGTGTTCCATTTTATTTTTTCCCCATTCGCGACAGTTGGGCGTGTCCAGGTTTTCTTTATGCTTTCCGGGAAAAGTAGCCTTTGGATCCACTTTTATTATTATTTTAATTTTCACATACGCGCATTTTATGCTCCGTAATAAGTGTTATCGGCAGTATGTAAACATTACCGTACACTCGGTTCCTTTTTTCCCCGTTTATAAAAAGAGGATGCAGCGGATTATGTTTATAGTACGAAATAAAACTATTTTATGGTAAAGGAAAATATTTTTACACCCGGGGCAGATTTTCTTAGAATCACATCCACCGGTACGATTCAAACTCGTTTGATGTTTAGAAAAATTTCTAATATCACGGATAACAGGACTCTGTAAATAGTGGCTGCAAAGTGTTCGTAGATCAGGATATGGTAAGGATATCGAGCAACGAAATTGCTTCTTCTAAAAAATAGCTGTTTGAGAACCATAGTGGTGTAAGTCCAAATTCTTCGAACTTGAGTTAACACTGAATTTGAAACCTTCTATTTATCATCAATATCGATTTATTTGCAAGTTCATACTTCAACTTTATTATTAATACTTCTGCATAGAAATTAAAGAACATATTATATTGTACGTTAAAAATTATTATTCGTTAAAAACGTATCCATTATTAAATTTTCACTAACAAAATTTAAACATCTTTCAATTTTTATATAGACATTTTATAACACATTTCTGAGCATGTAGAAGTGTTTTTGTAACTTTAATATGTGTCTAGATTTTTTTTAAATAACGCAAAATAGCTAAAACGTGACTTACACCACTATGTTTTTCAATCCACGAAATAATAATAAGTACGCTATCGAACCATGGTGTATAATTGGAACAAACATCAAGGACATCTCCGACCGTGGAAAACTGTCGATGAACGGGTTAATAACGGAACAAAAAATACTTAATTTAATTTGTTTTCTCTGGGATCTATAAACTATTGTGTACACGAGGCGTGTACTTGTGATTTTAAAGAGCAAATACTAAAAATTACGACGTTTCGTCCCGGATCCGCTGCCGCATTAATATCGAGCTCGTTGATGCCGCTATTACCACGCATTGAAATCACTTGCACCGGCGCTCGTATGAAAACCACGCCACGATCTCATTATATGGTACAATCGCCACATTTATTTCGCGATCGCGCGAAAACGTTTCTTTTTCTAATAAATATACGTTTTCTAATTATTCTCATCGGCCAGTTTAATAGCGATATTAATTATTAAATGATTGTAAGAAGTAACTGTCGTCGTTGATATTTGCCCAGTAAACAGCGAGCGAAATTTACTGTTCGCGATTATTCTGTTTACAGTTTCGTAACTGTACCGAACGTAAGTATACATCAAACTGAGAATTAACTCTAAAGTGTAACCGATATTACTCAGCCCCGCGGTCATCCTCGCGGATTGTAATCGGGAATGAATCTCCTTTAACTGCTCCACGAGCGATTTATTACGACGCATTCGAGTCACTCGATCAGCATTTCTATTAATCCGCCTTAATGCAGGCATTTTATGCCGGTCTCGGATAAAGAAAATTATTATATAAGGAGGGAATCATTTCTACGTTATTTATTTGTACGTCCACGAGTTAATTACTCGAACTAAAACGCAAGTGGTTGATTCTCCAGGGCTATTAAATGCATTTTGAGAATATTATGCGCGGTCCCCGTGAACATTCCTCGGTGATCATTTCAGAGTTTCATTTTATTATATTCTTTACCGATTGTGTTACGTAAAACGTTGTAACGTACAACGTTAAAATTGCCAGGAGTGTGTCTTTTGTCCAGGTATGGGGATTTCAAGTACTTTTTCTTAAAACAGCGTCGAAAGGAATATCCAAAGTTGATTTGGCGTTCCTCGAAACTCGTAAACGGATCGCGGAATATTACGTCGATTTTCACGCCCTCTTTTCGAAGCGCTCCGCTCATCGCCCCAACGATTCATCACCTTCTCTCTCTTCCCCTTCCCGTACGCGTCCAATCTTCCAGCAAGTTGTCATTTGGGCATTAACCACCGTTACCGGTAACTCCGTTTCGTTCCGTGGCGAATCGATCTCGTAAACATTTACAATGACCACAGGTTACACGCGTTCACAAAGTAGCATCGAACTGACACGGGAGCCTCGCAAATTGTTTCGATCACGGACGAATAGGGGATTCCGCGCGCCTTCGAGGAATTACGACAATTTTCCTAGCAATTACGATCGTTCACGGTGGATCGTGATTGCGATCGATGGTCGATCGTGGCGAATGCGCGTTCTCTGCACAACAGGAAACGAAATTTTCTATACGATTTCAGACTTTTTTTTTCCCCCCGCCCCGGGGGCAAGCGTACCAATAACACAGTCCACGGATTTTTCAACTTCCGTGAAATGTATCGTTTCGAGAGAACAGATTTACACGGGGAAAGAAAAACATTTCCCGTTTCGATCGATTAAGTAATAAATGGTCGAGACTGCAAAATTAAGGGGAGATCAATCCAAAACAGAAAATTTATTAACACACAACTAATTTTTCACATTTTTAGCAGTGTGCTCAAATTTTGTAATTTTTGCAAATTTTATTCATTCTTAAAATCCCCAAACATTGAAAAGAGATAAAAAATTCCATCACAGTGGTTTCCCCTCTTAATTTTATCGCGTTTGCAGGGTTTCTTTTCGAGCTCATTATGCAACAGGGGGAGGGTGAGGAGGGAGCTAACGTGCATGCCCCGTGTCATTACGTGGTTAGAGTAAACTCCGGTTCCGACGTTCCCATTAAAATGGTGGAATCGAAATAAGAGCACGGCTTGGAGCGCGTATTACACGTTTACATGATGGTCGCCGCGGCGTAGCTTTAGGCGAGTTCCGGCCGGTCGATTATGCATTAATGAATGGGCGATTCTAACTCGGGAAGCATCTTTGCGCTACCATTCGAATTTTACGTAGAACTAACGGCAGATCGATCGTTCCCGCCTCGATTACTGTGATTATCTCGAGTCCACTTGTCCCGATCGCCGCGATGTCGGGGCTCTCTGCGTCTCGCGCGCGAGAATCGATCGCGCCAGCGATACTCTCGCAACGTCAAATTGGTCGAACGGGTCGCGCGAAATTACCGTGATCGATAATCGACTTACATTCGATTAGACCCCTCGACGCAACTTTTCTGTTAGCACGCGACTACGATGTTTTCAGATTAGATTAATGCACAGTATTCTTTTCGTGTAAAAATATTAAATATTGGTTGAAGCTTCTTGTTCAATGGCTCTTCTAAAAAAGATTCGAAATCTAGATAAATAAATCTCTGGTTCTCTTCGAATACGAAGTCGATCGAATAGTTGTAAATAACAGAAAGGGAAATATTCGATTGAGGAGCACAAATTTGTTGCAATCTCTCGTGGACGGAACGTTCTCACGCGTAATCAGCCGCAGAAACGTTTAACGGACGAGGGGGATAAAAAGAAAGCCATTCACCGTTGTAAATGATAGTATCTCAGCCGTCCTCGAACGAGAGCACATGTGATTTAATGGATTAACAGCGATCAGTCCTGTTGCGTCGATATATTAAACGATCTATGTATCATGTACTGTTATCGTATATAAACCTGTCTTAAAAGTAAGTATAACACGACCAAGGACGCGTCTCGAAACTAGAACGGTCTTTCCCAGTTGCACGGATCCGTTAGGGTAGACCTAGTTCTAGTCCAAGGACTCGGTGACACGAGATATCTTTTTATACAGGAAACGTTCGCGGTACTCCGCAAAAATGGCCGACAAAACGAATCAATGAATGCATTTTAATTTATCGTTATCAGTGTTTGTTACATTGGCAGTAAACTTAAAAATTTACTATCTAATTTTGAATACGTATAGTTCTACAAAAATGGCGGATATTTTTCAGTTAAGAGACTAAATCCTTATTCGACGTTTCCATATTAGAAGAATATAAATATAACAAGAGTCAGGAAAATTCTATATCAAATTTATCCAAACTATCCTATTTAAAATTGCCCCTTTTCGATGGGTCAGTTGCCCTAATATGGAATACTTTTTTTTTATACACACGTTTCACTTGCTTGGAGAACTTTTGTAAAAATAGGAAATTCTATGCTCATTTAATTGGTAACGATCAAATTTAAAATTTAAATATAAATATATTTATATACTAATATAAACCTTGCAGAAACTCAGACTGCGATATTTTCTTTAATATTCTTTTACGAGCTTTGGAATTCGGGCATATGCACGCTAGTTGCAACAAATAACGATCGTAATCGATTGCATTCATCGCCAATAGCAATATTGCAATGATTGCTTTAGTATTGCAGTGTTCCAAATTAGGAACGTACTCCATGTTAGGCCAACTGATCACTATTACCATTACCATTACCAAACCTGGATGATCACGTAAAAATTTATTTGCAACTTGGTAGCAAAATGAAACATGGCGTCGGTAGGAGATGTTTCGGTTGGTTTGGTGGCCCCAATCCGCGCGGAAAAGTGGGACTCGCGTATAGCACAGGCCGCGCAGAAATTCCATCGGACGTAGCAACCGTCGTCGTCATCGAATGGTCCCCGCGTAAATGAGGCCCCCGCGGTCCGCAATTTGTGTATTCATAAGATGCACGCGGAATGGGACAAAGAGAGCGAACACAGAGGGCACAGTAGCACCGCGGCGTGGCTCACGGTGCACGCTCAAAGACCATTGGCCGGCGACTTGTAAACGACCGGCCGGGAGAGTGTATGGCACTGCAGTGGTCACATCGAACGGATTCACCGTTACGTAACCGGCGGCTATCCACGGGTCAACAGACGGCCGGAGGAGGCTTCACCGTTCGAGGAACTTAAGTTTTTCGATTAAGGACTGGTCCAGCCGCGGGTGGGGAGAGGATCCGAGCTGTTTATCGCGGGGGATCGTCGCGCTTGCTGGCTCACCGGGGATATTTGCTCAAGAATTACAGCGCTCGGTCCGTGTAATGAACGTCCCGGCCGCAACAATATTGTTAGACCGGCGAGTTATTGCCGCGACCATACTGCACGGACGCTTGTGAAAATTTGTCAACGATCACGTGCAACTAGAAAATTCCTCCTAACATTATGGTTTACGTACGAAAAATCGGGCCAAGATAGGCCACTGGGGCCACGACTGTCTCTCTTGGACAAGGAACGTGAACCAAAAGAGAATTTCGTTTCTAACACTAATTGTCTTTTAACCCTTAAGTGTATTAAGTATTGAACTGATAATTGTTTAATATATATCAATATAATTATTTGCAAATTTATGCAAAGTTGCAGATTGAGAGTCCATTTAAGGGTTACTGTGATTTTGCAGAGTGATAGTGATCCCCTTTGATGTATGTAAAATATTTAAGTAGGACAATTATAGCCCTGTAGGACTTTCGTGTATTTTTGTATTGAAAACATGTATCAAGGAGTTTATTGATGTCGAGATACTGGTAGCAATTAGGAGAATTGCTCTCGCCAGGGTCTAACGACGCTCGCATGTTCGAATGTTCGATAAGCGTCGCGGGTCGGTCTGAATTGTAATAGATTGAATTGTTAGACGATTCGCTGCAGTATGCGAGCAGTTCATTTCAAATACGTTTAATTTAAAGCTTTTCATTTATTATTGCCAAAAGATATAATAATACCACTCACGCGTTTTTTCATTACAAAAATCGAGAGGTACAGTAGTTTATAATTTGTACGATACACCAGCTTCTAATTAGACGCAACGATCAATTGATTCTTTTACTTGTATACGCGCGACTAGAACATGGCGAAATTTTCTATCAGACCCCTGTCACCGGAACAAATTATTAGAAATGATGAGTCGCGTGGATTCGACGAACAGCGAAGGATCCCATAACGTTATCGAGCGATCCCGAAGCCCAGATTCTTCCGTGCGCGCCACACGTACCGAAGACAAATCCTTTCCTCTCGTTGGAAGACAAGCCCCCCCGATAAAAATGAAAAAGCATCGAAATGCTAAGCAGCGGGAACGTCCGGCTTCGGTGGGATCGTGCGCACGCGAGAACGCAGCCCGAGCGATACGATTCGAAAAAGGAACTGAGACAGTAACGGTACCTCCGGTAACGTGTGCCGTAATGCCAATTTGTTGGCTCGGACGGTTCTTGCGTTCGCTCCTCGGGTCCGTTGTCGACGCCAGCCCTCCTTCACGCCCCCCTCTTCCACCCCCGCTCGATTTACCTGTGCACGTTACACCCGAGGCACAATGGATAAATTGGACAAAAGGTACGAGAGAACATCGACGCGGGGGCCCCCGGAGGTTGCCGAACGTGCGCAACGGCCCGAGAAAGAATGTTATTGTGAAGATCGCCAGACGTTTCTTCCCCAATTTCTTTTCTTTTTCTTCGATCTCTTCTTCCTCCTCTTCTTCTCGGCCGGATCCTTCCCTTCTCGTTTCTTCCAACGAGGCGGATTCTTTTCTGGTCTTCGGGGCCGGGGCACGAGACGAGAGTTTCGCGTCGGAGGCAAGAAAACGGCCACAGCATCGTCCCTGGCTAACGATCTCTCGTTTAACGATAAATTCCTTGGGCGTAATTGGGATTTTCAGCGGACAGTAGGGAAAATTATAGTACGCCGCGTGATCGTACGTTTCGCGTGCTCTCGGTATCGGTTTCGCTTCGAGCGCGATGATTTAACGGTTTTGGCGGATCGTGGGCGCAATTAAAAGGCAACTTCGAATTTTGGCTAACGTGTATCGTATTAAACTAATGCACAATTATAACACTGGTACAAAGATGTAATAATATATCTTTTTCATTCGAGAACCACTGTTTCCCAACGTTCCATGACCACTCACAAGTTTTAAATATCTCAATGTATTAAAAAATGGATTTATTTTAGTTTCAAAAAAATTTTCATAGTGAATAACCTTTACGAACCCTACGAACACGACTGTTTAGACTATCATTTATCAAGGCCAGAAAAAAAATTTTTAAAGACTTTACAACGAAAGGAAATAATCGAAGCTCGACCACGGTTGGTCCAGTTCGCGTTCGAATTGGAAGCCGCAAGGCCCCAGAGTGAACCGATTTAAAATCTGTGTCGGTTGGCCAGTCGCCCATTAATATTCGCGCGCGTTGCGCCGCGGCGTCGCTCGAATCGTTTTACACGGCCCGGGATGCATTTATCGCGAATATTACACGAAGTTCAGGGTCAGTATCGTCGGGAACGCGCGTGGAACGTGAGGAGGGTCGAGTTAGGAGGATCAGCGATGCCAGCTGAGCAATTGATCATCCGGAGGACCTCGCATGAGGTAGATTAAGTCCAGGCTCGTTCCAGCCGGACGGAAAGAAATATAGAAACCTAATCGCGCTCTCTATTTCGCATGCAGGTTGTTGTTAATGCGAATTCCAAATCGGTGTCGTGGCGATCGCGTTAAGTGGTATCGTTCGCGCTGTACCTAACGACGCGATGGATCTCGGGGTTCGTGACGCGACACCCGAGATGTTTCCCCGTGCTCGGGCGATCGTGCGCCTCTCGATGTTTCTTACGTTCGAAGAAAAATCATCCCGCGAACCTGCACCGCGAGAAAATGGTCTCTTTGTTCCGTTTTCTTCGCGAACTCGACGAATTTTCAAACTCGAAACGCGTCGAGCTCGAGTCATTTCTGATCCAATGTGTGCATAATATATTCAATGTTACAAGAAAATTTTAATTTCAAATAATTCGTCGAACGTATACTATGTAATTCTATTTAGATTTGAATATTGATTTTAATATATAAAACTTGATGGCGAGTGAGTAGTAGCCTCGTGATTGTGAAACTCGACGTCATGAACTTATAACGAGTCAGGTTCCTCGAAATATATAACAATTTTACCCCAGTAAAATCGTGAATCTGTTTTCTAACACGGTGAAAATTCGCAACGAAGATTTGCATAGTGTAAATTCGTTTATGGTTAGTCACCGGGGGTAAACGTGTCTGGGTTAAAGTTGTTAAAACGACCGTAGACAAGCGTGTTATCCGACGTCTCGAGGCAGCTGGTTGTTTCGTCGGGAATAAAACGAGCGCGAGAAATCGAATCGTCATCGCGTACGTCTCGCGTTCTCGCGTCCCTCGTATTGTTCCATTATCGAGGATCGAGGCGGGTGGAGGTATGCACGTTCGCGAAGTGACTTACAGAAACTCATCGATCGCGCAAGTGTGTCATTCGACAGGTTGAATATCTTCGAGTCTCGTTCATCCGCGCCCGATACTGTGACAGACAGGAACGCCCTGCCACTCCCCGGTAGTTGTTGCTGAATGTTTATCGTCGTTGCATTCGACTGACATTTGCATGATAACAGGTTGCAAGTGTCATTGTCTGCCGTCTCGATGCAATGGCCGGTAGAGGGCTGCATAATTCTCAGGCAACCGTGCTTGCGATTCGCGATACCGTAGAACAGACACGTCGAACGTTTTCTGGCCTACTTGATCGAAACTGGATCTCTCGGTTGTCTAAGGAATCGTGCCTGGTGTCTGTTTCAGAGGTCGAACTGGTCAAACTGCCGGAAGACACGACCTTGGCAGGGTTCACGCCCCTCATGTGCAATCCTCAGGACCCTTGTTACGCCAGTAAGAACGAAGATATAGTGAGTAAATTGCTTTCTAAATTGCAGATATTAGTATGGACGCTGGAAGCTCAAAATTAAATTCGTCGATATTTTCGTATTTGCAATTTTTTAAAGAATAAGTTGATCCTGTTATATTTGTGTACGATTTTATTTCCTCTTTCACAAATAAAATTCACAAATTAAAACGTAATATAATAATTATATTTTGCTCAGAAGTTTTCGTTCGTTTTTGACTATATTGAGTCGAACGGTTGGTTTTTTAGGAAGTCGCCCAAGTGTGCCTCAGGATAAACAAGATCCTATTTTTCGGCCAAGTGTTCCTCTGCGGCCTCGAGACGCCGGTATTGAAGTTACAGAAGAGCGAGACCGGCATCAGCGAGTACGTCTCCGTGGTCGAGGCCTCCAGCACGAGCATACCGAGCTCACCCCCGGAGCAGGTAACTAACTCATTCAGAAACTTCGGTCCAAAGTAAATTAAACGCACGAGCGAACCGCGTCCGCTTAATGCACGCGAACTTTCCCCACCCCATCGTCGGTTCGGTCGCCAACAAAGAATTTCGTCGAGGATGATGAGAGTAATTTTTTACCCCTCCATGAAATATTCATTCGTGCCTCTCCCGTAACAGAAGAACTTCGGGTGAAACGAGAGCACGCCGTTCGAAGGAATTAGCGGACGTTTGTCGGGCCAATCGGGGACGATGGGACCACTGACTTAACGATTCAACCCCTTTTTACGTGCTCTGATAAATTCCTTTTCTCGGAACACAGCTTTCAAATATCAATCGGGTCTCTGAGAAATTCCTCCAGAAATGTTATTGAAGAATGTTTACATTTGAAATTTCATTCTTTGGAGTATTAACCCCTTCCCGTACTTTAACATGTCTGACTCGTGATGAAGGTTTTGGCCCAAACATGACTGTCACGAGCCAGGCTCGATGACAGCAAATGACAATCGTGATTGAGGTTTAGTTCTTATCAGTACGCCGCAAGAGTTGGTCACGATTCTTATAATCTTTGTTGCAAAGCAGTTTAGCGCCAGTCTGGTCTGTTTACCGCGTTTGGCTCCGAATTTCGAGCTAAATGCCACGGGAAGGGGTTAATTCGGTTTGCGTTGCTGTAAATTATTACTAAAAATTTCTTTAAGCCGTCGATTTGGCTTCAGAGCGACTCGGAGCTCCTGGTGGAAAGTTACAGCGAGGGCGAGGACGAGCCCGTTTCCTCCCTGAGGAGATTCCCCTCTTGTACGGACGTACCTGATGACACCACCGCGCCCGTGGCCACCGTCGAGATACGGTCGCTGATCGAGAGGAAAGAAGAGCTTGAAAGGCGGCAGCGGAAGCAGGATCATCATCGACAGCGAGTACAGGTGAGTACGAACCACGTATTCCCCTGTGGCTGTGCTGTTTACTCGTTAAACACTTAGGAACATGATCCATCGATCCGTTCGATCGATCCGATATGCCGATGGGGCAGCACTTACTACGTCGTTACATTGCTTTTGGCGAACATTCCGCTAAAATATGGTCTTCCCATCTTCCTAATAGCGTCAAAGGTGAATCTTTATACCATCCTCTAGATACACTGGAAGAACTGGTCGACTCTTTATTTCTGGCAGAATGTGTGTACATTTTTTTCAATTTTATTATTCAAATTTTTCATTTAAATCTTCTATTTAAACTTCTATACACTACCACAGATCAGTGTCGTGTCTCGTTGTTGCAATTATTTTAAAAAAATACCATAAATTAATATTGCAAACACGAGTGTACATCAGCGAAGTACCAAGACTGAATTCGTGTTTCAATTCCAATATAACGAAACGTGTAGCGACCTGGATAAATAAAGGCTTCTTTTTCCACGTCCCCGTCCCTTCGACACCTCTAAATTTAGCCCCTTACGGTTCGAACCTTCTATAAATAGAGCCGTCAGGTCGATAGCGCGGTTCGATGATTCCCCTGGCCGAGATATCCTTTCGGTCGTTAACTCGCGTTCCTCCCTTCGGTCCTGTATCTTCATCGTTCCCCGCTGCCGCGCAAGGGCCGACAAAGTGACCGAAAAACACGTCCGTGGTCCCTAAGTCGAACTAAATCAAGAGATTACCAGGGACAGGTCGTTGCGTACTGTTGCTCTTTCGCCCTGTTTCGCGAGCTCCGGTTCGGTTCTTCTTCTTCTTCTTCTTCTTCTTCAATTCTTTTCCCCGGCGAATACGGGGCCCCTCCGCCACGTCCGTTTCGTCCTTTTATTTCGAGGTCCTGCTCGTTCGTTGGGCGCACGGCGCGATCGCAGCACGCAAACCCGCCGTTTTTATTTACGGCATCGGTGCTCCTCCTTTTTGCATATTTATTATCGAACCACCGCTCCGGGGCCGGATTTTGTGCGTACTATGTGGTCGTCGGCCCTCCATCTTTCCTCCTCCGGCTCGCTAAAGGATATTTTTCTCTCAAATGAGACGCAAAAGGAAGAAAGGGATCGGGGGGTCTGCGTGGTCGCGTCCTTTGTTTCCTTTTTATTTTTTTCTTTGCTCCTTCGCTTTCTTTCTTAAGTTACAGTGCACTTTCGCGCTCTGTGGGCCGTACGGGTAAATATCGATCGTTTCGAGTACTCGTGGGAGATTTTTGGCGTGTAGAATTTTAAGGACGTCCCCGAAATAAAGAACCCGCTGAAATCGAAACGTTTCTTTCGCGTCGTATCTTGGAAGTTCTTTTGGTTCGGTGATTTTACTTATTTTATCCCTGAACTTTTCAAGTAACAGTATACAGGGTCACCTAACATTCTGCTTTCATATTTTACATCTTATACCATTTTCTACGACCGTGACCTTAAATAATTATAGTCACTGAATTCCCAATGAAAGGGACTATCATTGTAGGTGTTTCAAAAAGGGTGATTCTATTTAAAAAAATATTGTGCCATTCAATTTTGTCCCCAAGACATTTGACGTATCTTCAAAAACAACAAAGATATTTTCGGTGCAAATGTTAGGTGACTCATCCTGTATATTATCCTCGAACCTTCTTCGAGTATAATGCTGATTATATAAAATACCCGAACGCATTACTGTCGTTTGATGTTTAAATTCGCTTCCCCAAAACTTCCTCGATATCCCCGTCGTTCCCATTCGTCGTAAGATCCTCTCAGGAAGCCTGGCGTTCGCCTCGCCCTCTATTTGGATTATCTTCCTCCGGTCGACGGACTTATTCTTCTTTTTTTTTTTTTACCCCTGGAAAAAGGGAGGCAAAATAAATTCGCCTCTATCGGCTGAATTTTTGCCCGGGCCGGCTTTATCGAGTTGGTTTCAAGGGGAACACCGGAATATCATCCCGAGTATAAAGTTACCCCGGGCGAACGACGCGCGATAGAGGGTCCCGTTGACAACCGACGGTGTGTTTCCTGGCCGAAATAAAGGACACTCTCGATATCCTGCCGCTACATACCTCGGTAGTCCCTGTTAGATCGCCCGGACGACCGTTGTATCGCCGCTCGTTCTTCTTTTCCGTATCGAGCCCCTTTTCTCGCGCCCCGTAGACGTTCCCTTCGTTTCGCGAATTCCGATAAGCGTCCACCTTGTAACGCGATATCGGTAATAGCGGCCGCGGGGGAAACTTTCCAACGGAATCACGCTCTGACGTCCATCGGCGTAACTTAACCCTTGGACCATTCTGTTCGACGTAAGAACCGCCGTGGATGAGGATCTTCTTATTCCATTTAGATAATCGTTAACGCGAGGTATGATTTTTCATCGGGAACGAACGGTTTTTATTTAGAAAAATAATAAGAGAAAAAATAAATTTACGTTCGAAACGTGCAATTTGAACCTTTCCACGTCGTTCAAGATATCGAAAAGTTTATTTCTCGAGTAAAATCTCGCCAATATTTCCGGATCGCGAAGACCACCCGGCGTGGTTCTAGATCGGTGATTCCGAGGTTCGTCGACCAACCATGACGGTTTGATGAAAAAAGGCATCGGTGAGGAGGATTAATTAGTCACAGTTCGCGATGGTACGTAGAACTCGCGTAACTTTTTGTGAATTCTTTTCTCTCCTCGCATCGTTCGTAGATCCCGCGACTCGAGAGGCCCCCCCGGTAGATCCGTGGATACGCGTCGGATGTTCGAAATGCAAATTTGAATCGGCGGAGAGGAGACGCGTGCCCGGCAAAAAGCAGTTCCGTGTAACGCGGCCGCGAGGATCGAGCACGCTCGTAGCATCATTTAGGATACGCGATAAAAACGACGGACGGAACCGTTAATTCGGACGAGCGTGTCGCTCCTTATGAGAGCTGGCTCGCGTTCGTGCGAAACTTCGATCCCGAGGTTTTGCTACGATCTATCTCGCCGGGTGGGTATTAATGATAATCACGGGAGAATTACGGGGTTACGTCTACGCTTTTAATATTCCGCCTCGGTCGGTCCTTCCCGTGAAATCGCTGGGAGATGATTGTTTAGCGTAAAAAGCCCCTCGGGCATTACTACTGATGATCGCGTTCGTTACTCGCGGTGAAATCTCGATTTTCCGGGCTAATTTGGGACGGGAGCTAAAACTCCGTTAAATATTAAACTATACGTTTTCAACCGGTTATTCGCGGGGAACAATTTTTTATATACTGAAATGGAGTGAAATTACGATTATCCGGCATACTCGAGACTGGGACAATCACGGAAAATCAAGTACGACGGATAATTGAACTGCACCTACGTATGGAGTGATAGGAACGAGGAATTGGACAATTTTTATGGGGTTAATGAACAATTTCTCAAATATTCTTAGAATTTTTATATATTCTTCACTAAAATACGCGTTGTTTGCATTTTGAAACATTGAAATCCTCCAATCCGTTCGGGAGTTCTGATTTTTTAAACATACACGTGAAATTTCAGGGGAATCATTCATGTCTCTGGTCAGACATTGTATTTTCGGTAAAGAATTTTTTTTCTCGAAACTGTGTAGGATTTCGGTGATATGTGTAATGACCAAAAATTATTGTAATTAACCCCACTAGCTAAAAATAATTTTTTTAGAACGATTCGAAATTTTTTAATTTCGCCGAAAAATTTAGGCACTTCCTGAATTTTTTTCTCGAAACTGTGTAGGATTTCGGTGATATGTGTAATGACCAAAAATTATTGTAATTAACCCTACTAGCCAAAAATAATTTTTTCAGAACGATTTGATATTTCTCAAGTTCGCCGAAAAATTTAGGCATTTCCTGAATTTTTTTCTCGAAACTGAGTAGGATTTCGGGGTTATGTGTAATGACCAAAAATTATTGTAATTAACCCCACTAGCTAAAAATAATTTTTTCAGAACGATTCCAAATTTTTTTTCCGTCGAAATATTTAGGCACCCTACTCCCTGTCGATTTTTCTTAGAAATTCGTTTTTGATTTTTAGTAATTTTGTTCGACGCCCTATAGAAAAGTTGTCTAATACTTTTTTGTAGGTATCCATGAGCTCTATTTCAGAAAAAAGTTTCATTGAAATATATTCACTCTATTAGGAATTATGGCTGTTTGAAAATTGGATCACTTTTATGGGGTTTTTTTTCACTTTACGATGTTAAGGAATAATTTTTCGAATATTCTTAGAATTTCTATATATTCTACATTAAAATACGCGTTGTTTGCATTTGGAAACATTAAAATCCTCCAATCCGTTCAGGAGTTATGGTGTTTTAAACATTCGCATGTTATTTCCAGGGAACATTTCTGGTCTCACATTAGATTTTCGGTAAGGAATTTTTTTCTCGAAACTGAGTAGGATTTCGGGGGTACGTCTATTCACCAAAAATAATTGTAATTGACCCCTCTAGTTAAAAGTAATTTTTTCAGAGCGATTTGAAATGTTTTATCTATTTTTCTTATATACTAATATAGTAATATAGTTTATTAATAAAAAGTAAAATATATGAGATTCCTACGCTTTGTTTGTCAACTGTAATAATCAGAACTCTACTGTATATAAAAATATGTCGAAATTTTCTGCATTCTGCGCAATTCTAAAAATGGGTAAATATTCTGAATCAGAACAAGTTTGGCCATAGCAGAACCTGTTCCACCTGTGTCGTTTAATTACGGTCGTCTGGTCGAGCCAGGTGGGAGTTGGCCTAAATTTCCACGGCGACAACGACGGCGGAATTAAATCAGTCCTCGAGGTTTCGCACGTTTCCAGCATCGCGTTAAACCGGCTGAAGAAACGGCACTGCTAGACGTCCTACTAATTTCCTTTTAATTCGAGTCCCTGTGACCCGACGACCGCGAGAACTCATCGCGCGGGGTCACCCGCGTGCGCCGTAACGACCAGAACGACGCTTTTTCGTGCGAATTTCCAGCCGGGTACCGTTCCCGCGAACGGGACGAAATTAAACGACG